CAGCTAATTATAGCCTACCCTTGGGCCTCTTGACGTAGGCGTGTCTTTGGTTGACAACAGTCGATTCATTTGTTTTCTGGTTTATCAGGCACTTGCTTTTCCTAAATTGTCATTTACAGCAATGATTGCTTCTCTTTGTTTCAGAATTTCTCATAGAAACCTGCCCTTGTCCCCGTATTCTAGGTGTTATGAGATTGTGTGACATCCAGAAGGTCTCTGTAACTTTTAAAATATTATTTTGCATCTTTTTAACATTTTGATTGGGCACATGGATAGAAATCAGCCACCTTTTAGTGTGGTCAGTAAAGTGATGAAAAGCCCACTGGAATTTCTGGTTTGCTCTTTCAGGGATATGGGACTTTCCACTATCTCGCCCAGTGAAGGTGACTTGACCCACACCCTGGCTCAGTAAGGAGCAGTACCGCAGAACTCTCCTCCTGCAGTGAGAGAGCCCTGAACTGTTGATTGTCTCTGTTGTGCTGCAGGCAGTTGGCCGCCAGCCTCTGGGAGAAAGTCGGCCTACAGTGGCAGAAGGAGAATGAGGAGGACCTGAAGGACAAGCTGGACTTCGCCTCCCCCCCGCCACCCCACTACCCTCCACAAGGTGAGTGGCAGCCTTTCAGATGAACAGCAACCATGGGAAGGGGCCATGAGCTCAATCTTTGTTCATGTGGGAAAGGAGTGCCTGAGCCTTAAGGAAGGCTTTAACTCCTGCAGGTCTGTTGAGACCAGGGCAGCCACTTGGGCCAGAAGGAAGCAGGAATACCTGGTCTCGAAGGTCCCAGAGAAAGGGTGCCTTCTTCCATTGGGCTGGAACTCCCTCCTGCAAAAGCCAATGCTGTTGTCACCCACATGTCCTGGGCAGGGCAGCACACCTCTGTCTTCAGCATCACCCGGGCACCCCTCATTCGCCTCCATGGCAGCCTCTCTCTCTATTCTGGACCAGCTTTATTTTTAAAAGACGTGAAGGCTTCCAGACATGTCCAGGTGCACCACTAGAAGGTGTCCACCTTGCTCCCTTGAGAGTGGATGCGAGGATGGACGTCTTAAGCTGTGGAGTCCTAGGCAACTCTGCTTAGTGGTAGTGGGAGTTTCAGAAACAGGTGGGCTGAGGGTGCTTTGTCATTTTACCAAAAAAGGAGCTAAACACATAGGTCACAAATAAGATGAAGTCTTTATGTTCTGACGTCACTTCCACACTTAGAACGGGACCTCCCATTGTGCACCCTCCCTGTCCTGTCCTTTGCTTCCTTGCTGGATCACAAGCACACTTTATACCTTTGTTAGCGTGCCTTGTCTCTCTCCATAGGACCTAGTCAAGCCTGCGCTAAATCTGTGAGGAAGGGCTCAGGCCCAGCCTGCACTCCCTCTGCCTCATGGCCTGGGCCACCTCTGGCTTTATTATTTATTTTGGAAACCACTTTACTGTCATGGGAATGAGTATCTTCCACTTGTACTTGATCAGGTGCTTTTATCACTGTAATCTGTCTGCAGGGTATTTTCTTAAAATTGAATTATAGGTACACACTGACAAGGACAAAAAATAAAAATGCAACCCAGGTCAGATACCAGTGAGAGATATACAGTCTCACAACTTCCTAGATTGCACCTCTTCCCTCTCTGGGAATGTTCCTCCTGCTGAACAGTCCAGGGGGCCGGGTCATTGCACTAGAGGGAAATGTTGAAAGTTGTGAAATACAGCAGGAAGATGGTTTCCTGTATTTTGTATTTGGCATGATGTTAAGTTTGAGGCCACAAAGGAACTGCTCCTCTCTTCAGCTGGCAAATCAGATAACCTTTTTCTTTCTTTCTGGTCGATATATCTCTGCTTTTACAGATTTGCCCCTCAACTGTGAAAGCACACATATATTGGAAAAGGTGCAAAAAGTAGTCGCTAACAAGGTTTATTCTGATTTAGTCATTTTGAGAGCACACCATCTTTTTAAAAATGTAGAACTTGAATGGAAGTGAAATTCCCAAAGGTTTGTTTTCACATTCTCTTAATACTTTCTCCCTTCAGCTACCCAGAGTTAACTTTTGCACCAGTCGGACCTAGAAGCTACACTGGGGGTTGTGTTTATTTACATCACGTTTCAGCTGGGTTCTGATCATTGGTTGGGTAATAATTCTCTTAGATATGAGGTCCGGTGTGTCTACCTAACTAATTTTATACAGAACCTGAGGTTGTGTTCACCTGGCGCATAGTCAGTAGGAAATCCATCAAATATCGATTGAGCACAAAGGGCTGTTCTTATGATGTAGGAAAGTTTTGTTCTTGCCGGTGGGCATTGGTTCATCCTTAACAGATCTCACTGTAGAGAGGAGAGAAGGAGCATGGAAGACAGTAACTATATTTTGAAGATGCAATCCTTGGAATGTGATAAGAGGAAGACAGATGCGCGTGTGGGCACCGACACACACACACACCCCGCGCCCCTCATTGACTGACAAGGCCTACTATGTGCAGGGTACTTCAGAGAGGGGCTCTGTCTCCAGGCCTTCCGTTGTCTGGTGGAAATATGAGATTTTCTAGTACTGCCTGATTTAGAAATGGTTTAAGGACATGGAGATATTTCTTAGTGATTATTATAAAAAATCTAATTAGTTGTACATTGTGAAGCTTGGAGAATGTAGTTATGTTCAGAATTTTTGTTTCAACTAGGTTATAATAAATTTAGAATGAATTACAATCAAATGGCATAAGCACTAGATTTCACTAGATTTTTGGCATTATCCCTGAAATTACTTTTTTCAGTCTATAGATTTGAATTTTAAATATAATATTTCAGATTTTGCTTTTACAGTATTTCAAACGCCTAATTATGTCAGTCTCTTCATCAAAACCTCAGAGTGGCCCCCACCTCGCTGAGCACACACACTCCTCACTGTCCTTCCCAGCCCCAGCCCCACCCCCGTCCCAGCACCCACTTTCCCTGGGGTCTTGTGACATCCCTTTCCCCAGGTGACCACACTCAGCCACTTAGAACAGGCTGCCTTTTAATCGTGACATTATTTACATCAGTAAAATTTATTCTTTAGAGCTGCAGTTCTGTGAGTTTTGATAAACGCAACCTCTATAATCAAGATATAGGACAATTCCATCACTCCAGAACTTGCCCTGTGCCCTGGCGGCTGCTACGTGGCTTTCTCTCCCTGTAGTTTTCCTTTCCCAGGATATCATGGAAATGAAATCATACCATATATAGCCTTTTATGCCTGGCTCACCCCATTCAGCCTAACGCATCAGATGTCTGTCTGTGCCTGTGTCCATAGCTCTTTCCTTTACAATGTGAGTAGTATTCCATTCCGCACTCACCCAGCTGAAGGATGTTTGGGTCATTTCTAGTTCTTGGTGATTACAATTAAAACTGATATGAACATCTGCATACAGGTTTTTGTGTGACTATATGTTTTCATTCTCAGATAAATACTTAGGTATGAGATTGCTGGATCGTATGGTAACTACGTGTCTAACTTTATAAGAAACTTGCCACGCTGTTTTTCAAAATGTCTGTACCATT